TATAATGTAAGACAAGCATTGAGGCATGTTGTTGATGGTTTGAAAGATTCCCGCTTTAGTGGATTTGGTGATAATATCAATAGATTTTCCGATTTAACTACGGATTCAAAGCTTCATAAAATTTTTTCAAATTGGTATGCCATAGAAAATCTACCATTATATCTACAGGATGAAGCAAATGAAAATAGTTGTAAGTAAATTTAAATTTAATTATTTACTGTACAATATCAAAATAATGGATACAATATCGATATGAAAATTAGTTAAAATTTATATTTGGTGCCCATGACTTACCCAATTAATTATTGAAATTTATTTATATATTTATATTACGTATAAATAGCGATGTTAACCAAACTAATTAGGACGTTCCCTAACTATGTGATGAATAGTATCACACGATATCAGCAATAACAATAAATAAGTAAATACCTTATGCAGTATTATTCATTACAGTTTGGAACATCCAAATAGTTTGGATAATGTCACTATTTATAAAGTTGGCTAATTCAGATTTAAAATATAATTCGACTAAACTCTAACGCTAATCAAACATTTCTAAAAATATAGATACTGATGCCATTTGTCTTGATAAGAATTTCATTAACATTGCACTTAAAGAGCAATGGAGTACAAAAAAATTAATGAGTATAGGCCTATCCAATACACTGAGTGGAAATCATTCACTTTTTCAAGATCTTTTTGAATCATATAAAAGGCATCTTGGATTAAGAAGTGCTCTATTACACAAGAAACTTAAGTTTTATAATTATATTACATATACTATTCTTAATTCCAAAGATTCCATTAGATTAAAACTTCATATTGGCGACATTGTAGAATTAGCAGAAAATTCTGAAGGCATCATTTATGCTAGGATTAGAGCAATATTTATGCATCAAGCAAACGATGGTCTGAATTACGCTTTTTTCCAGTTTGAAAAATTTCAGGAATTGAATCTTTTAGATCCAGTATTAGAATGTCCATTTTATAAGGTTCATATATCCGAAGTATATATTTTTCCGATTAACTATGTTAATCGCTTCCCTCATGTACATTTCTTACATGCTTGCATAAATACGTGTAATAATAGGAACTGTCGCTATATTTTAAACAAATTTTATTATAATACAATCTAATATAAATATGTCAGATAGCATATATTGGTATCTAAAATTCAGCATTAAGAACGTGGGTGGACCATATATGATATATTGATACTGGTGCACTGTAGCGAACATAAAAATTTTTATTATATATATACTTTCATTCTAAGAAGTTTATCCATTTTAAAATCGATATATAAGTTCGATATCAATAAATATATAGATATAATTTGGTTTCAATATTAGCATTTTTGATCATTAGCGTTAGTTACCAAGTTAGCTTCATAATAACTATAGCATACATCAAAACTTAAAAAATATATGAATTTAAAAGTTTTATATATTGCATCTATTATTTTAAAACATGTGTGCGCAAGGTACACATATCGTTAATTTTTAAAATATGAAAAAAAAATTTTTGATAGGCACTCTACTTCTTTACACATTAATTTTAAACACTAGCATATATATTATTCCTCTTATTTTTACATTAAATATCAAATGGCTAGAAATAAAAGACTTCAATTTATTAGTACATAATGATAATAAAAGAATACCAAACAATTCGTACTTATAATTTCGGAAAAACCTACCAATCATACTTTAATATATCTCTTCGTCAAATTACTAAAAATGCTGTGGCATAGCCAACCAAAGTTACACAAAATTATACAGCCATCCAGACATAAAGTATGCCTAATTTCTCTTTTGAGATTGATAGATAACTGTCCTAACGTTACCAACCTAAAAAATTTCGCTAAAAAAATTTTGCTACTAGGATAGTGTTGGATTTTGCTATTAATTTAAGTTATAAAGAGTTCTTCTAGTATCAAGATTTCATAAGGAAAACTTTTGATTTTTTGCATAACACCTGATCTTGAAATATGATTGGCTAGCGAAATTTTTTAGGTTGGTAAGAAACGTCAATGTTACACAACTGATCTTTTACCCGGTGTGCAACATATAAAAAATCATTTTACAATACCAGATCACTCACTGATTATAATCCAACATCATTATAATCATAACATGTACTAGCGGAATGATCTGGTATTGTAAAATAATTTTTTATATGTTGCACACCGGGTGAAAGATCAATTGTGTAACATTAACGTTTCTTCCTGTTGTTGGTAACGCTAGGACAGTTGATTTAGGGTCTACAGTTATCATAATGCCAGCTGATATTAATTCGGCCAGAATTTGCGAATCATAATGCTGGCTGACTTTACGTAATTCCGGTCAATCGCAGAATCAGGCTTTCTGTTAGTACAGTATAGCAGTAGTTAGGGATGTAAAATTTCAGTAATTTTACGTAATTTTACGTAATTTTGTGTAAGATTTGGTAAATTAAATTTCATGTAATTGTAATTTTAATAATATGATATTTGCATAATATTGATCAGGTGAATTGACATCATA